TTTTCAAGAATAAAGCCATATACCAACTTTTTGTTCACAAATATCCTCACAATTTCTATCAAGAGTTAGCATTATTTATATTCGGACTAATTTTTGTTGTGATTATGCCTTCCAAAAGCTAAGCAAATTATTACGAAACAGGGAAACCTTATTAGAAACAAAGAGCAGCACTGAATTGTTAGGTAGTATCGGTCCTCCTATATGACCGAGAATGTTGGGCAATCTCATCACAGATGAAGAAGTGACTTCAGGCAACAGAAATTTAGTTCTGCAGGAGGATGCTGTGAATGCCATGGACTGAACATATGAACAACCAGTGTGAAAAATGATTGAAAAAGAAAGAAAGCAAAAACGACATCATAATTTTAATCGGTGTCATGAACTGCTTCTTAATAAAAGGCAACCAGTGTCAATGATTTGTAAGATTTCGCACTTTAAAGAAGCAAGAAAGTATTCCAGGGACTGATGTTTTAAAGAAAATGGAAACAAGAAGGATACTTATACTTAGCATCATAAATAGATACAATTGAATCTTAGAAAGTATTTAGAAAGGGTTTAGAGAATTTGACCCATGACCTATTGAAGGCAAGAGATACAAGGGGGAAGCTGCGAATAACCTGTCTAACGAGTTTGTGTAAATTGCTGGCAGAACAGGATTTAAGAGAGATAGCAAAAGACAAAATTTACTAAGTGTTATAAAAGCCAGAAAATTGTGGAGAGCCATGATTATCCACGTTCTGGAGGGATACGGTATATATGTTATACTACTTCTTGTTACCGCGGTAAAATAAAACCTAAGAAAGTTTTCTTGTCAATAGAAAGTGTTATGTGCAGAGACATTGAAACGAGAAGGGTTAATACCAAAAACTCATGGGAAGAATTGAGAATTTAATTCACACATAAACGACTTGAACTGTATGTCGAGCAGTTTGAACAATGGAAAAGTGACCCAGACTTAGGGGGTAATGATGATTGACACACAGCTGCAAATACAAGCTGTAAAGCGAAAATTTCATTTTTTGTAAACAACGAATTTTTCTTTTTGATTCGTCTGGTCGAAAGTCGATTTGAAATACCAGGAAGATGTGGATAAGCCACCCACGCTCACTGGGGAGATTCAGGTAGAGGTAATAATATGAGTAGAAGAGGGGAATTCCCCAGACTTATCGAATTCTCTTACTTGGCCAGATTGGGCGAATGTCCATAAATACGAATGCGCTAAGCGAATTAGGCAGACGAATCACAGAAGATAGAAGAGACGGAGACGAGACCAGAGACAGAAGAGAGGCCCACATGATTATCTGCCGACGAAAACCTCCGACTTGAACCTTGTGGCGAACCTTACCAATAACAGCAAACCAGATTTTGCCAGGTCAACAATAATATCACTTACAACATTAGACGAGGGTAGAGCTGATAATTAATTGCATGCTAACTCTGATATAAACCAATTATTGTAAGGAGGATTGATATAAAAACAATTTATCGAGTGTTATTTTTTTCTTGTACGTCTTCGCCCTGCTTGGACCAACCCAACATGAAAATTGCCTGCAACGATTCGATCTTGTCCTCCTTATGATCAAACTTAAATCAAACCGTGGGACAGAGTAGGTCTGAGATCAAAGTGATCTTCATCGATCAGCCGCTGTGTTGGAAGTCTTGGACGGCCGAGTAGGGTGTTGTATGATTACATATACAAGAAGAATGATGTCTGGTTCCTTTTACTACTGCTCAATTATTACTCGATTTGTTTCCCCTGAAGCTAAATCTCTACTACCCGACGAAATGGTCGAACCCTCAACCCTTACGCTACCAAGTTCAGGAACCAACACTCTAATCCACTGGGTTATTGTCACGTGAAATAACTTGGAACCTTACACCTGAAAACAACACGTCAAACAATCCCTAGCTATGGACGTCGGAAGAACAAGCTACCAAAATAGATTAAATAAAGAGCCCAGTTCAAAATTCTTTGAAGGTTACCCAGGTCGACAGACACCTGAAAAGACCGGAGTGCACAACGGTCGAAACGTTGTGATAATCACAACAAAAAAGAGTACATTAGTCCGATTATAAATAATGTAAATAAATATTCTCTTGTACGTATATCTCCAGGCAAATCTGACAAGGTTTAGAATTCATATCTTAAAAATCATTATTTTATGTTGGTTCGCATAATGTTTTTGTTCTCTTGCTATTTTATGATAAAGAATAATTTGGGTTCATGCATTTCTTGAAAGTATTTTCATCGTTATAGACATTTACAGCTGGAAATTGTTTCGGCAATGTCATATTTTGTTTGCTAGATTTGCCCTTCCGATATGCACGAAAAATATTGTCTCAAGAGATTAAACAGACAACAGCAAAATAATCAACTCTAAACGTAATTCAAGTTGTTAAATGATGATCCTAGAATTGGCGATTTCAAACACTGATTCCTAATTTCCGCCTAATCTAATTCCCAACCTGAGAGCGATGTAAAAGTCAGTTTGGGTGGTGAGGAAAAACGGGACTGTAAGGAAAATGACGTGGCATTAGAACCCAGAAATAATATTTTTTTTCCATTTCTTTTAAAGAAATCTACCTGACAAAATCTAACTCACACTTAAGGAACACTTATGCTTTGCAAAAGACAAAATTAACATACGTTAAAATTAACATACGCATTATTTCATTTTACGTTTTTATAAGAAATTTAAAAGCTCGGACCTTTGTTTGTATCTTGCTGACATTATCTGGACAGGAATGACCACACGCCAGAATGAGTTGCTGGGACCAATGCTCTAGGTTTATAGATGAAGCGATATAACCATAGATGTTCGTCTTCTGTTAGGTTAGTTGTGATGAATTTGCATTACACGTAATGCCAAGAAAGGGACCCTTCCACGTGACACAATGATTAGTAAGCTTGTCTCGTTAGCTCAACTTTCGGCATTGTGCCACGTCTCAACTACACTTAGTAAATAATTTTAAACACTTCGGAGTGTTGTAATGGTTAATAAGCATTTCCCGCAAGATCAATTACGACTGAATAGTGAGTTCAATCCTCACTGGGTGCCCTATACTTTCGACCTTGTGCCACATCTAAGCTACGCTTATAAAGGCACGACAGTTAGAAAAACTTTGTGAATCGCTGATCTAATTGAAAAGTCAGCGTCATTAAAAATGAGTTCCGCTTCCGCTCCAAACACTAGAGATTAATCAATAAGGTTCTTAGACGCTAAAGTTTCTTTTAATGATGAAAATCAATTGGATAATTACTATGAAAATTTAAAACCGATAAAGGATACCCACATTGCATCCGAAAGCAATTGAGCGACATTCAATGGAATTATGGAAATATTGAACAAAATATACGTACAACATTCACAATGGAAAATGGAAGTTTTTAATGACTGACTGAACGTATCAGATATTTTTCTAATTACAATTAACAAGAATTGATTTTTGATTTAAGCAAAAATTACGAAGATATAATCACCAACTGTTTCCATCGACCCAGAAAAAATGTAATATTCAAATAACTATTAATGTTTTAAAAGCCCATATGCCATAGTCTTGTCAGGAGAGTTTGTTTAGCAAGTTTATCTTGCAGACCATTACTACTGATTCCCCCTCAATGCCGAACACTTATAGCCTTGTCCTAGACTAAACTAAAATTAACTATCCCAATCTTGTTCATAAGAATAATCTAGAACGTATACAACTGAACTGTGTTCTGTAGATGCTCCAACATTCTTCATCAACCCGGACTATGATCATAAAACTTTATATAATTATACTAAATTGACCCCTCAGTATGTAACGTAATTGAAAAGAAATAGTTTGTGTGTGCGAAAGGACAGAACAAAATATATTGACACAGAAGATGAAATATCTTTGCAAATTATTGTTGTAGCATTTAAAATAATAAAAACTCTACTCAAATTTTCCTCTACTGAATTTTGACCGACTTGCTCATAAATAATAGGGAGAAATTTTAGTGGGGAATAATTTTTATAGAATAGATATCCATTAGACCCTCCTCAAACCACAACATTTGTCAGAATCGAAAAATACTGATTTTATGTATCATTTTAGAAGGGGGTTCTGGTTCATAATAAAAATACAAATCGATCCCTAACTTCTGAGAAAATATGTATTAACCAATACATTTGAAATTAATAAATCTAAATTTTGCAGTCGATTAATTATAAATATGATCAATTCTTGTTCGCTAACTAGTCTTTCAGTCTTTTGACCAGGATGTTCTTTCATTTGTTATACAAACAAAACTAAAATTCTCACATTTAATTAATTACTCACATTTTTCGATTATTTATTTGAGCATATAATATTACAAAAAATGCTGAGTGATACTGACATATAAAAGTGCGTTTACGACCGTCAACAGCTTCCTCTGCTAATTTCATGCGGCCGACAACTACAATTTATACGCATAGATAAAGAAACATAAATCTATGTCACATACATCCTTTCTGTTTGTGCTATACTAACGCAATTCATTCGGTTGTAGTGTAAAAAAGATGCACAAAATATTTTGTGTAAAGTAGTTCGCAAAGAATATTTGTAATTTATTTCTTTCAATTTGAAAGAAAAATAATACTCCAATAATAAAAAATTATTGAAATTTGTAGTGTTTGAAGATTCACTTATTTCTTCGCTTATATACGCATAAACCTCTACACGTGCACACACACATATACAATACACACACACACACATATATATAATACATATATAATGTGTGTGTGTGTGTGTGTGTGTGTGTGTGTGTGTGTGTGTGTACAAATGCATTTTTGTAGCTATCAATACAAAATATCGACTGGATATAGATAAGCTTTTTCGTCAGGGGATTGACTTGAAGTGTCATTGTTGCCATAAATATGCATCATATTTTGCCATAGATATGCATCTAATATGAATACTACTTGTCTAATCTAAATCTTTCTCTCTCGTAAGCTATGTCCTTTCACGATTCTCCACAGATTATTTTAGGCTTACGGCCATATCACGTTGAAACACCGTGTTCCGTACGATCACCGAAGTTAAACCACAACGAATCTGGCCAGTAGCTAGATGGGTGTCCGCTTGGGAATACCAGGTGTTGTAAGCTTGGATGTACGGGTTGTGTAATGGTTAATGAATTGGAATTATTAATCGGACAGCCGAGTTCTAATTCCCGTTGGGTTCGTTATATTTACTTACGCACAAATACCATTCGGAAAAGTATGGACCCACTTCTCCCCCACCACCACCACCACCAGATATGGGTTACTTAGTAAGACTTGTATCAATAAATCATTATTATCTCAAAAAAGGTCTTACAATCTAAAAAATATTTTCTGGCTTTAAATAACCCGTAAAGGGTTGATAAGCCGTAGAAAACGCATCAAATCTAATCACAGATTCATTTCTTGTATTATCTGCAGATTGCCATGACTTCATAGAAAATATAGAACAGTGGTTTCCTGTTGCCTTCTCAACGGCTTAAAAATTCCGAGCAGTACTTCTAGCCTGGCTGCTACGCCTATAGAGACCAGTCCTAGCATACGTAGGGGTGAGGGGACTAAATAATGAGTGGTAACGCAATGCAAAATCGTTTAACCATTGACTTCTAACCTTGCCTAAAACAGTAAACATATAAACAGAATAATTTTTACATAAAAAATTATTTCAAAAATTAAAATTAAATATAGTTTAAAAAATTGAATTTTGAAACCTCCTCATATCTTGAAATGTTCACTTGTTAATTTTATAATTTTTTCGCTCTAAAATTCTATTTTTAAAATTACAATTATCGTCATGCGAGTTATTATCAAACCAAATATAAGTTCTACTTCACCCCCTGATCTCCCTCGCCTGCTACCTATACAATTATCTATTTATTGTATTTCGTTGAATTATAAACCACACCTATCTGTAGCCAAACCTTTGTCAGAATCGAAAAATACTGATTTTATGTATCATTTTAGAAGGGGGTTCTGGTTCATAATAAAAATACAAATCGATCCCTAACTTCTGAGAAAATATGTTTTAACCAATACATTTGAAATTAATAAATCTAAATTTTGCAGTCGATTAATTATAAATATGATCAATTCTTGTTCGCTAACTAGTCTTTCAGTCTTTTGACCAGGATGTTCTTTCATTTGTTATACAAACAAAACTAAAATTCTCACATTTAATTAATTACTCACATTTTTCGATTATTTATTTGAGCATATAATATTACAAAAAATGCTGAGTGATACTTCACCCCCTGATCTCCCTCGCCTGCTACCTATACAATTATCTATTTATTGTATTTCGTTGAATTATAAACCACACCTATCTGTAGCCAAACCTTTTTCGCTTTATTTAATTGATACTTTTATCAAACGATCTTCTCTTGAGTTTATTGCCCAATGTTCTTTCCACTTAAACATTTTGTACTCTGGTCATAAGAACGTTTTGGATTTGTTGTCGCGTAAAAGGGTATTATCGTCCTTGTTTCTGAAAAATATATATAATACTTCTCATGGTTAAATCTGAGATAAGCTCCCATTAAATGGAACACGGACCATAAATAAAGATAAGCTATTTTATCGATATTTTCTCAAAAGATTTGAAGTTCTTCTTTACGGGGGTGATTCTCTTATTACGGAGTGTATGTAACATGGGAGAGCGCTCATTCGCATTACTATCTGCGGGAATCTATCTCATACATACGAATATATTCAGCCTAAATTAACTTTTATCTATTTTTCAGTTTGTGTACGAACGTTAAGAATTTCCATTTGAATCTTAGGATAATTTGGGTGAGCTTATGTCTATGTGAGTAAATTCAATATATGTATTTGTAAATTTGTAAGTGTGATTTAACTATGGTATATAGTAAACTGTACTGTGAGGAGTCCTCATATATATATATATATATATATATATATATATATATATATATATATATATATATATATATATCATGAAGAAACAATTTATACAAAGAATTAAATCGTAATATATTCAATATGTTCAACTGTCAATAAATAGCATAATTTAAAAAAACATTTTTCGGTTTACTCATATTTTGTCTTAGTGTTTGCCTATGTATGGGAAAATCGCGTCCTGGAGATGACAATTTGAAATTGTCGAAAATAATTGAGATGTGTCTTTCATCTGACAACTCGAATATAAGGATCTTATTATTCAAGGAATTGATAGTAAATGAATATCTCATTAGTCCTGTTAACGAAGTGATTTCACCATTATGCTCTGATTTCCTCTGTCCCTCTTACCATCAATATGTCCTTTGAATGCCAAATTTTCTAAGCCCACTCTCCTCATTATGTAACCTATAAATGCCAACTATCTCTTTCGGGTTCTAAGTATGTCTTTTTTGTTACCATTTTTTCTAAAACTTCTTTGTTGCTTATATGTTCAGGTCATAGCATTCCCAGCGTCCTTTTGTAGAACTACATTTATATTGCCTGAATTCTCTACTTAATTTGTCATTAAATTGCCCAGGTTTCAGCGGCATATAGAAGGACAGATACCACATAACAGCCTAGTACACTTATTTTGTTTCTAACAAAATTTTCCTGTTTCTTAATAATTCGCTTAGATTTTGGAAGGCACCTTCCGTTAACCCAATGCCCCTTCGGATTTCCATATTGCATTTTCCGTGCGCTGTTAAAACAATTCCTAGATATTTATTCTATTACTTGCTTGATTTTCGTACCTCCAATTTGTTTGCTCTGGTTGATGTTGTTTAGCAGCATATCAACCTTTTATGGGTTAATTAATGCTGAAATCTCAATATGTTTTGACCGTAATTGCATGCCTTCAGCTACAGATAAAATGCATTGTTGGTCATTTTGCTATAAATAGGTATTGTTGGTCATTTTATTATAACTAGGTATATCCTGGGATTTTTACTATAAAAAAAGTGCATTTTTATACTTTCATAGTTTTGTTTTTGGTTGGAGGTACACTATTTGTCCATAGCTGGGACGCTAACAGGTGCTACCACCCCCGGGTCAGAGTGAACCTGGGAACGACAGCAATTAAGAGGTGTTTCCACACTTTTCAAAACCTCCAATCTTCCAATCAGAGGCATTGCTGCCGGATGTAGTTTATTGTCATACCCAGAACTACTCCAATTTGTAATTCGTATATTGGACAGTTAATTTTTCTGACAACAATACATTCTGTCTTTTTACAATTGATGCTACAAATGATTTCATTATTATCGATGAAGGCTTGTGTAGAAAAAGCCATATTCTTTGTAAGTACAGATAAGAGAAAATGATGTTCAGAGTATGCCGTGAAGTCTCCAGTCAGTCCTACCCAAGTTTGAATTCAGTATCTTCCTGAAGGTTAGTCTGTCCTGCTATTTAACCCCTAGCTGGAGGGAGATGTATTCATACCTTTTCCAGGTGACACTAAGTAATCTGTTGAAAGATTTTAGCCAAAATCTTTCGCTTTATAAAAATATGAAATCACGAAAGCAATGCAGGATAAAGCGTGCAGTTTCAATATTGCGTTTATCTTTAACTTATAATTTAATTCAAAATCATTCGCTTAGAAAAAAGCGATTATTTTTTTTATGCAAATGAAGGAAAACACAGAAAAAATTAACCAATTCAACAAATTTCCTGCGACAATCATATAAATATATAAAGTCTTCTTGCTTTCAAGTCAAGTTTAATCTTCAAAAATATAAATCCAATGTCAATTGTTATATTCTGTCTTCTTAATTTCTGTTATTTTATTGCTCTCTCTCTCTCTCTCTCTCTCTCTCTCTCTCTCTCTCTCTCTCTCTCTCTCTCTCTCTCTAATAATGTTTTCTCTTATATTCTTTCACACACAATAACCTCGCTTGGGATGAAATGATTAAAAAAAGATACTATGAATAAAACCCAGGAGATCCATCGATTTCTTGGCAACAAACTCTTCTGTTCGATTCTCCACGAGGTTCTTGCGACATCGAGTCCATTATGCCTTCGTCCCGGTGCACGCCCGTCTCTATACTAAACTATCTTGAACCAAACGACTACACTTACTTGACACTCACCTGGTACTATTTTTACTGAAGAACTGATTCGCTCCCTCGAAACAGTTATATAATACTCAGAGAACATGAATAAAAGTGGAACAGAAGAAATATCAAGTTTGGCAATGTCAGTTGGCAACAGGTCTCTCTTCATGGTCGATATGGCAAACTCGGCTCACATTTTCTTCCATATGTGGCCTTAATGGTGTATTTCTTATCGTTTCCTTCCAATGTGGCCCTTAATAGCGTACCTCATTGTTTATGTGCTGTTCTCGAAAACATAATCAAACCTGAAATAAAAGAACTTCTTAGATTTGTTTCCCGATTAGTCTCGAAATTCCTTTCAGCATATCCAAGTAGTCCAAATAGAAACGACACTGATTTCAAAGCCATATTAACCAACCTTTCGGTCTCATTTGATGAACATCAAATGTTTTGTCTATGTATCATTTCCAAGTCATATAGCGGCGACTTATTAAACTCCGTACACCTGTCAACTGCTGGCATCATCCTTGATAATGACTGTACGTCATTTTGGTATTGCTGCTGAGCCAATATAGACTACATCCCCTCTCTCTTTGAACAAGCAGTTTGCGTCGGTATAACGCCTTCTTTTATGTACCACGTCTCTTCAGGATGTGAGCGATCATATCTCTCCACAACGTCCTTTTATCTTGAAGCAATGTTTATCCGCTTACTAATCCTCCCGTTCCCTGTTATGGCATCAATTTACACAAATTGTAAGTTACTGGATGTTCACCTTTGACTCCTGTGTCCCAGAGATTTCAACACTTTCTGATTCGAAATATAAGTGTCCTTTTTTTCCATTTTCCTTAAAAACTTTTTCGTTGCATATATGTCCCGCCATTGGTATTCCCAGCGTCCTTCTGTAGAACCACAATCTCTGTTGACTTAAGTAGCATTTTTATTTGTGAGAGAATTAATTACTCAGAATTAACTGTCATATAAGATGATTGATATTACATTGCTGTTCAACAAGATATTCCTTTTTTAAGTTTTTCTCGCCACTTAATTCTTTGCTTAGTTTTTGAAAAGCATCTTTTGCTGTTCCAATGCGCC